AGTATTTAGTATTTGGTCCCTGTGCATGAGGCAGTCCGTCTAGTCCATTGTCGTCATAAAGCGTTGTTCATTGCCTTTGCCCTGCTTGCTCTGGAACAGGAAGGGAGGCCTTCACCTGAGTAGTGGTGTGCTCAGGCCAGTGTGAGGTGGCCTGGCACAGACCAGGGGAAATCCTGGTTCTGAGGCCACAGCCCAGAATCCCCTGGAAGCTTGAGGAGCACAGATTCCTAGAACCCATCATCTGTTCTTAAACAAGCCCAGAGCTGAGGCTGGGCACTTACCTAAGTGGGAGGCTGGGGTAAATGTGAGGGGCGCCCAGGTGGGGTCTACAGGCTGGAGCGCTCTCTGTCTCTGTCTCTGTCTCTCTCTCTCTCTCTCTCTCTCTCTCTCTGTCCTGGAACTCACTCTCTCTGTAGACCAGGCTGGCCTGAACTCACAGAGATCTGCCTGCCTCCGCCTCCCCAAGTGCTGGGATTAAAGGCGGCGAGCGCCGCCACCACCACTGGCCCTGTGTCTTCACCCCCCCCCCCCCCCCACTCACTGTTCTTTTATTGAGGACTAGTCTGGTGTCAGGGAGAGACCCTGAGCTAAGAGTGCTGAGGTGAACAAAACAGTTACTCTTGAGCCCCTAGGGGGACAAGTCTAGAGGTAGTTGACAGACATGCAAATGGAGCTACCAAGCCAGGTTCCAGGGGCACTCTGCTGATCAGGCTAGAGTCACATCAGGCTATAGTCACGCTCCCACACTATGAATTTCTCCAGTCCCAGCGTGGTGGAGCCATGGGTAGCAGGTAAAAGTTTTGTGTCTGTCTAGAGTCTAGACCTTTGTCCTTTGAGGACAGATGTGCTAACACTTGTTACTTTTGGGCACCAAACTCAACAAAATATAGACAGCCTTTTTTCCGTTGCTATGTTTTTGTTGTTTGAGACAGGACAGGTGGTCTGCCTCGGCTTCCCAGTGTTGGGATATTTGATAGAAAAGCAGTTGATAGTTTTTAGTCTTGGGCAGCAAGAGAGGAAAAGAAGGGCCATCCACCTGATTTCCCTGTGTCCTAACTCAGCCCTGAACCCTAGGAGCTGAGATTTGCAAGCTGAGTGGAACACAAAGCCCAGGTACCCTAGCAAGCAAGCTAGTATTTAGCCGTGACCCTGGAGCCCTCCATCCCGGAGGGTAGCCCTCCCTAGCCTTCCCAGGAATCCCTCAGTGAGCCCCTGTGCTGCTTTGGCATGCTGCCCCTTGTGGGGCCTTCTGAAAGGTCACCTGCCTTTAAAGAGTGACTGAGGAGAAAGGCTTCCAAGGAGCTGGCCACCCTGTCCCAGGAGCTTGAGCCAGGCCCATTGGGAGCGGAAGGGGCCATGTACTTGGGTGTGCCCTGCCTGGCTCTTGAGGGTATGCTGCATCCTCTTTGAGTTATGTCTTGCTTGAGGAGATGTGGGACACACATGCCCTGCCTCTGTGGATGGAGCCGGAGGTCCTCTCAGCTGGGGCCAATGACAAGGTTGTTACCGTGAATTAATCAGATTCTGGGGAATCCACACTTTGGTTTTGTTGGCTTAGCTAGATTGTGTACATTGTGCTGGGTGCATGGGAGCCATTTTTATTTGCTTCAATACAAAATAGAAAAATGAAAGTAAGCCTGTTTGAGACATAATCCACCAGGGGCCTTTATTTACACACTTGAAGAACACCCGAGATTCAACTTGTCTACCTGGTCCTGGTCACAGATTTTGCTTGCAGGGGCCCTGTTGATGGCAGCGTTACGCATACCTCCACTGGCTTCCTAAACACTAGGTTTAGCATGCAGCTTCGGCCAGATGCTCGCTCTAATGGGAAGTTAGGCTGCTCCTCACAAGGAAAACGTCTCCACAGATGCTATTCAGCTATGAGAATTCTGCTAAATGCCTACAGCATCACACAGCCCAGGTGTGGGGTTCTTTTGTTTAAGATTTATCTCATCTGCGTGCGTGCGTGCGTGTGTGCGCGCGCGCGCGCGCACGTGCACCTGGGTTCCCTGGAAGTCAGAAGAGGATATCTGGTCCCCTGGAACTAGCTACATATGGTTGTGCCTCACCGTGGAGGTGCTAGAGACTGAACCCTAGTTATCAGCAATAGCAAGTGCTCTTAGCCCTGAGTCATCTCTCCAGTCCGTAGGTGTGACTGCTGTAGAAGTGGCAGTTGTTTCTAAAGAAGGCCAGCAAGGTGACTTGTTGAGGAGTGCGTGCTCAAAGAGCCTTAATGGCAGAGTGGCCCATGGTGGAAGGACAGACCTGTCTCTGCAAGTCATCCCTGACCTCCACAGATGCACATACACACACATACACGGAAACAAATAAAAACCAGGGTCCCACCAAGTAGCCCTAGCTGGCCTGGAACTCAGATCTGTTTCTGACTCACTGGGTACTAACATCAAAGGCATGTACCACTTCATCTAGCCTTATAAATTAATTTTCAAAAGAAGTGTGCTATTGAAAAGTACTGAGGTGGTGTGTCATGTATTCATAGGAGGCTAGAAAGGCAGATAGCTTAAGTCTAGAAGTTTCAGTCAGTTTGGTCAACAGAGATCTCATCTAAAAGAGAGAGGGAGAAAAAAAAAGGAGGGAGAAAGAGAGGGAACAAAAACTGTAGAAGCACCATTTGGTTCTGTTTACAAGCCTTTTCGGTTTTATATTAATGAGTGGACATCTACACTGTTACCTGAGATTATCTTTGCTGCAGAAAATCAGTAAAAGTGCCAAGTCACAATGAGTCTCTAATTTGATCTTGGCTGTATTTAGTGTCTCAAATTTTTATGTTGATGGGCCATTTTGATCGCCCCCACCCCTACCCTGTCATTTGTGAATTTCAGTAAAGTATAAAAACAGTTATTTGAAAAATGAAGTGGGGGGTGGGGGTGGGAGAAAGACTATAAAAGCTAGTACTGAGGGTTAGATCTGCAGACCTAACAGTTACTTTGTAATTTTGCTGTAAACCTCCCTAAGTAATACAGTGTCTTCCTCACTTACCTCATCTGAAGGGTTACCAGGTCACAGGCGATCCCCACCTGTGAATTGTAGTTTGAGAAATGCTGGTCTAGGGTGTGTGTGTATACATTCAAGTGGTCTCTTCACAGAATAACTAACAGATCAGATAACATTGTGTGCCAAAGTAACATTTTTTTTCTGAGAGTATTAAATGCTTAAAATTGTAAGCAGATACACTTATAAATATGAATACAATTACGCACTTCGAAATCCAGTTGTCTGGTAATGCTTCTGATGCATTGTGTTTTGCAGAGTGAAATAAGACTATCTCTTCTCTGATTTATCAAGTTTAAATGAGTACAGATACTCTAGATAGGGCACGTCCGGTGCAGAGAAGACATACAACGCACTAGACAGTAGGAACTCTGAGAGGTGAAAGATAAGCCAGCTGTTCTTATTAGACCCTCCTTGTCTCTCAGAACAAGTTGTGTTAATCGCTGTCTTTGGTCTGGTCTTTGATCCTAAAGGGATTGATACCCTTCTTGTCAGTGCTTATGGAATGAGGGGAAATGGTTTCATACAAGTAATTCCACATTCTTTATAAGCATCGGCAGATCTCAGACTCTGGCCTCCTGTATGTCTGCTTCATGGGGTGGACAACATGACCTTCCTTTAAGCCAAGCTTTGGAAGACACTTCTGTGAATTGTATTTGTTCTCTTAGCCTTCCCCTTTAGGACCAGACTTGAAATTCAAAAGGCTTGTGAGGCCTAGGAGGAAGTTCATGTGGTAACTCCTCCCACCTGGAGGCTGTAGATGTGGAGAATGTGTGTAATGTGCACATTAGAGAAGGAATGAAGAAGAGCTGTTAGGAAGAGAGGAGAGATGATGTAACTACCAAGCACCTGTGGAGAGGATTCACATGGGTCCCCGGGTGAGTGCTGCAGATGAGTGGCAGGGCCTTCCTTCTAGTCTGGACCCCAGAAGCCAGGTTGGGCTGGCGTGGTAGGCTGAGGCACAAGAATTTCAAGTTCCATCTAAGAACTCAGTCCAGATTTTCATATTGGAAGCCTGCCTTGAACTGTAAGACAAAAACAAGATAGCAAGCATTGAGGGGCAGGGGCTGGTCCTTAGAGCTGGGTTCTGAAAGGGTTGACGGTGACTGTGGGGACAGCAAGAGCTCTGCTGTTCCGAAAGTGACCACCAACTAGGCAGCAGACTCTCAGGGTCGGGGATGTAAGTCCTGCATCTTCCAGACACAGTAGGTGTTTTGTTAGGGCAGTCTTCAGTACCCGGATAGCAGGGCTTACAGCTTACAGTCAGAGCAGATCCCTCTAAAACTACAGCCGTCATGCTCTCACACAACTACGTGCTGTCAAACAGAGCCAAGCAGGACACCGGTGGAGAGACATGCATCCCACTTAGTCTAGAATGAAAGGCAGTAGCAACTCAGTCTGTGGTCGTTTAGCCTTACCACATAGCACCCAACAGGCAGGAAGGCTTCGTGCATAATGAGGAAGGAAAAAACATTTTGAAAGCACACACGGCTCTACCAAAATTGTATGTGTTCTTCCTTCTCTAACTTGGTGCCTTCAATTTTTTTTTTTAGTTGTGTTCAAGCTGTAATTTCTAACACCTCTGTCTGTTGAGGTTGTGCGTTGTATGTTCTTGAGCTTTAAAAATAAACCCATTTGGGGGAGGGAAATTGAACCTGTGTGATAATGTTAGGCATGCGAACGCAAGCACATGAGCTGAGAAGTAAAAATCATGGTTTCCATGGTAACTCCTAACTTCTGTGTCGTGTTGTACACATTACTCACACAGTGCATTGGCCAGGATTGCCTAGTGATAAAAATTGCTCTGCAGGCGTACGAGGGCGGATGCCCCACTTCCCTGTCTGTCTACGGTCTTCCCCTGGTGAGTCTCCTGTTCTTCTCAGTGACCCAGGCAGACAGAGTCCCAACCTCTAAGGCAGCATCTTTTTCATGTGGAAATTAGCCTTCATGTGACTCACGATGCCTCCTGTCTTTCTCCTTTGTAGATATATGTTGGGTAAAGGAGGAAAACGGAAGTTTGATGAGCATGAAGATGGGTTGGAAGGCAAAATCGTGTCCCCCTCCGATGGCCCATCCAGGGTGTCTTACACCTTACAGCGTCAGACTGTCTTCAACATTTCCCTTATGAAACTGTATAACCACAGGCCCCTGACAGAGCCCAGCTTGCAGAAGACTGTCTTAATTAACAACATGTTGAGGCGGATCCAGGAGGAACTCAAGCAGGAAGGCAGCCTGAGACCTGCATTCACCCCCTCTTCCCAGCCCAGCGATGCGCTGAGCGACAGCTGCAGGGAGGCCCCACCTGCCTTCTCCCACCTGGCCTCGCCTCCTGCTCACCCCTGTGACCTAGGAAGCACTCCACCCCTGGAGGCCTGCCTCACCCCGGCCTCGCTGCTAGAGGACGACCATGACACTTTTTGCACTTTGCAGGCTGCACCTCCCGCACCTCCTACCAGACTGTCTTCTGCAGCCCTCCCACCAGAAAAGGACAGCTTCTCCTCTGCCTTGGATGACATTGAGGAGCTCTGTCCCACATCTACCTCCACAGAGGCTGCCGTGGCCACGTCAGCGGCGCCTGACAGCCCGAAAGGAACCTCTAGTGAGTCCAGCATCCAGAAGCCTGAGGGACCCCAGGAAGGCCGTACAGATGACTCAAGATTCATGGACTCTCTGCCTGGGAATTTTGAAATAACAACGTCCACGGGTTTCCTGACAGACTTGACCCTGGATGACATCTTGTTTGCTGACATTGACACATCCATGTACGATTTTGACCCCTGCACATCTGCATCAGGGACAGCCTCAAAAATGGCCCCTGTGTCAGCTGATGACCTCCTCAAGACCCTGGCTCCCTATAGCAGCCAGCCCGTTGCCCCAAGTCAGCCTTTCAAAATGGATCTCACAGAGCTAGACCACATCATGGAGGTGCTTGTTGGGTCCTAAGACTGGGGAGCCCTTGACTGTGCCTAACCAGGCCCTACAAGCATCCTGCCTCCCTGACAGTTTCTCCGCACTGTGCATGTACCCTTGCTTGCCTTTTTCAGAGAAAAAGACAATTTTACAAAAGGATCACACTAGTATTTTCTTTGAGCAGAGTTGGAGTGCCTTCATTCAAGTATGACCACTTTTAATACGCTCTCTGAGTGGGCTCCACAGAGACCCTGCCCTGGCTTAGGAGAGAAGACGTTCAAAGACTGCATTGATAATGCTGAAAGGTGAATATGAACAGCTCAAGTGAAGCACAAGGGTTAAGTTGGAAAAGCTGTAAATTGCATGTGCATATTTGTCTATTTTTTCTATAAGTTTTATTGCAAGAGGTAAAAGAAAGAATATACATCTATATTATTTGGATAATCTCAGTACCTTTCCTGGCGTTTTGCCCTGTATAAGTTGACTTGGCAATTCCGCCTTTCTAGAGGCATTAACTCCTCATAAGTGTTGCATTTACATGGCTGTTTAGAAAACCGCTGCCCAAATTTATTTTATATTTTTGTACAGATTCTGCAGTTTATGATATTGTTTTTCTAAAAACAAATGCTGTTTATACATATGAGATAGCTATTTTGATAGGATTTGCTCACATAGTTCCTGCAATTGTAAGCTGTACAAGTTGCACTTGTACTTTTATAGAGTCGTAATGTTTTATATGTGTATGGTGCAAGAGACAATTGGATCAAATCAATCTGCAGTTGATGTCCCCAAATGCAAATATACACAGTGCTTCAATAAAGGGCCAGGTGATCTGACACCCAAATTTCACAAGCACCAGCCCCTGGCACGATCACCTGCCAGTCCTGTGACTTCCAAAGCCAGAGCCCTGTCTGCTCATCAAACTTGCATTAAGCAGTGGTTGGGGAGATGGCAGCAGGACCCTGGGATTGATGTCTCTTCAGCTCCTGCTTCTGAGCAGAGGTTGTATCGTTTTGTTTAAGAACGCACTCGTGGTTGGATGTGGTGGTGCACCCCTTTAATTCCAGCACTTGGGAGGCAGGACAGGTGGATTGCTGTGAGTTCCAGTCCACCCAGAGCTATACAGTGAGAAAGAACCTGTCTCGAGGACTGGGGGGGTGGGGGGGACGGGTAAGAAAGAAGACTGTATTTATGCCAAGTTTGCTCTTTTAATTGTTTTTATTTTAATTTTGTAAAATGTAAGCCCCGGTCTTACCCCTTGGGCATAGCTTTTATGATGAGACCACAATTTTACATAACAATTTTACAACAAGCAACTGGCCTCTTCAAGGAGCTGAGCCTACTTCAGTGCTTAGGACTCATAAAGAAGAAATTCTACCCAGAAGGCATCCATCGTGTTGCTGAACTGCCTTTCCCTGTGTCCTTTCCCTGGAGCCTTTGTTCCCTCTGTTGCTAAGAGCTGCAAATGGCATCTTCATGATCACCACAGTGAGCTTGGCTCACCTCAGCCAGCCGGGATGCACTCTCAACATCTGTGACTAGAGCCGCAGTCCATCACCTTACGTCATGGTGTCCAATCTGGTTGCTTTTTTTTAATTAACTGCTAATTTAACCACACTTTACAAAGCTGTTATCCCCAAATACATAACAGGAATTTGTATGCGTGCTTGTCTCTGGCCGTACCCTGTCTCCTGGCCCCTTAAGCAGCTTTTTATTTCCAGTGCTATCCCCGGATTTGTAATAGTTTGTTTCAGGGTATCCTGCCCGTTGCTGAGGTCTGCTGCCTTCCTTTCTGGGAGTGGTACTTCAGCTGTGGCGTGCAGCTTACAGCCGATATTGTTATGCAGATGGCTTCTTTAGGAATAACTTTTATATTTATTTAAAATTTTTAAATTATGGGATTTTGTTTTGTTTTTGTTGTCGTTGTTGTTGGTCATTTGTCAATATTCAGCCACCAGTTCTGCTCGCTTCTTGCCATGGCTAAAATTGGGTCTTTCTGGCCAATGAAAAAGATAAGTTTATAAATGGCACTTTAAATAAGCCATAGATAGTTTTATTTTTATAATGCACATGGCAAGCAAATGTGTTTGCGATGAAGGAACTGCTCCTCCACGCAAAAGATTTGTGTATGGTGTGATTAATACCTTTTTGCATTCTGATTTACCTTTTCCCACAGCCATGTGTTTGAAAGGCTGCTTCCCAGCTCTGTGGATCAGTGAGAGGCTGACCCAGCTGCATTTAACTCTGCTGTGGGCACCCTCCACAGGCACCTCTCACCGCTACAAGTGTATGTTTCCTTTGATGTAGGACCAGGGACCATATGAGAAGGTGAGGGTTGTTGCCCAATGCTCCCAAGTGTCATTGTGCCTGCCCATTTTAAGAATGTTTCTTTCTTGAAGAAAGCAGCTCCACCCTCCTCTGTGTTTTAGACCTGGAGGACCCTGTGAACTGGCCACATGCCGCCACAAACATCTGCATACATGTGTGTGTACAGTAGTGTTGACTGTTCCCAACAAAAATGGCACAGCGCAGTTGATTGCCATTGTCAAAACCTGATGTGCAGTAACTTAGAACAACTGTACTTTTGTTGGATTAGCAAACCGTGTGTTTAAGCGATCCCGTATGTTGGGCAACAGTTCAAATAAGCTCAAAGAAGCATTGCCCAAACTTAGTTCTCTGACTCCAGTGCATTTGTAAGCCCAGGCTTCAAAATCAAAACACCCACCCCAACTCAGCAGGCACGTGCTTATTCTGCAGACGTGCATGGGAAAGTAATGGCCCGTTTCAGAAAGAGCAAGCCCATCAAGAGTTAAGACTGACTTTGTGTCCTCTTTGTATTAAGCAATGTCCCAACAGGGAAGAGGTGGAGCCAGTCAGAACGAGACCTCCCAAGTCCCAGCCTGAGTGTGGGATGTGCTTCGGGATGCTTCCTGGCAGTTGTGGCTGGTCTTCACAGAGACAGTCTTGTGGCACCCAGAGGCAGGCAGACAGCTTGGGGTGCTTGGGCCTGAGAGGCAGTTATTGACAGCGATGTGCAGACTCCTGAGAGATTTAAAGAGGTGGCTTCCCCATAAGTTATTTATTCCTTTCTTTCCTGTGTAAATATATTTATTTTGCTGTGGCACTCTAACAACATCTGGGTGGTATGGTGCAGAATGTATGGTGGGAATGTATTTCTTGTAGGAATGTAAATCTGTATTAGAAGGGGGAGCCAAGCCAGCCCCCACCCTGTCTTTTCATCAGATACACAGTCCACATTCAGTTTTCACTCTCGCCTCCTCCAATATGGGTCTATTTAAAATATGCAAAGGGTGTGGATGAGGAATGTCTTACTTAATACCTCCAAATTTTTAAGAAAATCAAGCATAAAAGGGTTGATAATTTTTTTAAAGTTTTCTTAGTAGCACTTTCACTTGTGACAGAAGGGGCAGCACACGGGCACCCACCTTCACACCAGAGGGTGAGAAATGGCCACAACCTCCCACACCGCTCTGGTGTCTTTAGCGGTTGAGCTTTTTATTGCCTTGGCCCCTTGAAGTGCCCCAACCATCCTGAGGTCAATCAAGGAAAATTTCTTAACAGAGTAAGCTCCAAAGAGCCAAAGTATCAACTTACGGATCATTTTTAAAGCTTAAATTTATTAACCACCTTTTCGGTAAACAATGAATTATGGATACTGCAAGGGCAGACTTCTTAATTGACACATAAAAAAGAGACTGCCTGTGCAGATCGTTCTTCTACTTTGTGTGAATTGTCTTAATTTTGAAATCTTTCTCTTACAAATTGGACCTCTATACATTTCTGAAAATAGGAAGAAGAGAGCCTCTTTGACTTGTCCTAGCTGTAAATGGTTAATTCGTGTGCTGCTCCGCACCTGGATGCCAGCGGGGTGTGCACCTGCCTGTGTGCGATTGCTTCCAGTGCTTCCAAGAATGAGTCTACATGGTTCTTGAAAATTAGCCAGGATCAAATGCTCTTGCAGACAAAGCCAATAAAAGTTTTGGACTTCTTTTGGGGAATCTGGAAGGAAACGTAGTCCATATGTACAACTGAGGTGTTGAAAGTGTACATAGGGACGTGCTAGGTGCATGGATTTGGAGGAGGGCTTTTTGTCAAAAGTAGGTGTGACCTTTCCCCCACAGACCTGAGAGCTGTGCCTTTTCTATGCAATATTACAGATGTCACATCAGAACCCAGGGGGCTGTGTTCAATGTAGGTTCATTCAGGCTGTATTCTAAACAATTGGACAGATTAAATGTACATGGAAATGAGCGGTCTTTTGTAGTTTTATATTATACAATAAACAGTTAAAGGATGAGACTTGTGTTTATAGTTTTTTTTTCTGTCAGGAGTACCACCGGGCTGTGTCGTGACTGTTTGGTCCTGCATTTGGTCCTGCAGTGTGCTCTGCCCGTTCTCATCCCATCCTGCTGCTCTCCAGGCTTCTCGGGGTCCCTCCTCACTTCTTTTCCTTCTCTGACCCAGCTCTGTCCAGACATCATTTTTACCCAGAGCCTTCACCCTGTGTGTAGCTTGAGATGGTCTCCCTCCCGCACTCGGGACTTGAAAACCCGTGGCTGGGCCCTGTCTCTTCAACTGCTGGACTGCACTGTCTACCAGAGGTGCAATGTGTCTCTCTCTATTGGCCATTCCCCATGGGACCTAGCCCTCTCCAGTAGGCCACTTGGCCCCTCCTAGGCTCAGCTCAGCTCCTATACAGTAAGCCTGTCCCTCAGTTCCAGCCTCCTTGTCCCCTCAGACACCTTCCTGTCTCTCTGCTTCTCTGACCCATACCTGCTATCATCCCTATCTACTGCTGGTGTGTGTATGTCACTATTTCTGTCCTGGTGGTTTTGGTAACATAATGCCAGACTGGGCCACCCTGCCATCACCAGGGCCTAATTGGGGCGGGGATGTCCAGACACTCCTTAATAGCTGGGCCACTGCTGACTGGTGAGGCGGCAGATGTGGGTATGAGAGAACTGGAAAGTACACGCTCCATTAAGTCAGCTTTGGAATATGGAAGGCAGGGGGTGGGGTGCGCTATAAACTGAATTGTTCTCCACAGAGGTTATAGATTCCAGTACCCCAGAATGGGATTTATTCAGCAACAGCCTTTACAGAGGTATGTGAGATTAGAAAGCCTGTCAGATCAGCCCTGCATGCAGACAGAGATACTGTGTGAAGACAAAGGCAGACATGAGGGCCATATTTCTACACATCAAGGAGCACTGGGCATGGCCAGCAAGCCTCTAGTGATAACACAAAGGCAGCTAATGACACACAGATTGAGATATCTCACTACAGGAAGCCTTTCTTAAGCTGTCAAAGGAGCAACCCCTTACCATCCTGATCTTGGATTTCTACCCTCCAGAAAAGTGAGCTGCTCTTGTTGAGTCTACCTGGGTCGGGTCCTTTGTCATCGAAGCTCTGGCAAACCTCTCGGGGCAGCTGGGAACCAGGGGACCTCTTCAAGCCTGAGGTGGTGAGCATTTGCCATTGATTGGCTATGCAGTTTTGTTTGGTAAGCCATTCAGCCTCCAGGGTTACAAGAAAAAGCTCAGCCACAGTCCCTAAAGCCCTTTAAAGACATTGGCAAGTTAAGAATGTCTTGTCTGTCCTTGGTGCCCAGGACTATTCCTGGCATGTGGTTCCAGGAGAAGCTGGGGTTGTCCCTCAGAAGAGGGCATCTGTGAAGCCCAGAGCTCTGCCCCAGCACCCTGAGAGCGGCAACAGGATGATGGGATGTATGTTCAAGGTTTGCGTCCCCCTTGGATACTTAAGACCTTGTCTTTAAAACAGAGAAGCACGGCGGAGAAGACTTGGGTGAGGGGTGGC